GAAATAAAAGACTGCATTTTATATAAAATTGTACTTTATGAGAATTAACAAATGAATGTTCTCCAACATATACAGACAAGCTTGAAGCTTTTCAACTTAACATGTAAAGTGTATGTTAACAGTTTCATTCTCATCACTCAAGTCTTTTTTGAATAGTTATATTTCCTGTTGCCCAAAGTCAAATTGGTAAATTGCGTGATGATTTGGTGGTAATTATGAATATGTTTAGAATGTTTCAATACCATTAACATCAGTATTTACAAATCACTTTTTATTGAATTATAGTGTGATACGACTCATTTATCAACAGAACTGGACTAGCTATTAAATTGAACATGATCCATTATTGAATATACAATTTTATCTATTACTACTTCAGTGCATTGTTTTCGTCCAAATCAAAAATCAGATTTTACTTTTAGAAGCCAAACTTTTATTTTTTCAGGAACAACTCCTGCACGGCCTTCGGGATTAAGAAAACTGTACATATTTGTAAGAAAGTATTGTTACCTAATGGAAGAATTACATCAAATAAGTGAAAAACTTTGAAGAAATACATTAAATATTAACTTGTATATTCGCTTTTTTATTTCCTTAAGGTATTGGACAAAATAATATACTAGTAATGGTCTGCTGAAAGTTAAGTAATTAAAGAAAAATGGAAAAATACAGTATCATAACAATTATCGCTTAAAAACATTTGAGACCGTTTCGATGTAGGAGTTTGCATTGTGTCTAATCTCGTTTTTCAAAGTTGTTTTCGTGGATTCTTATTGTGTACTTTAAAATAGCCATGTTTCATAATACTTTTTTTCTTGCAAATTTTGTTATGAACATCTTCAGCTGTCTTAAATAACAGTTTATGGATATAGAACTATTACATACAGATAATGGAAAGATTTGCTGTAGAACTTCACAGGAAGACCTGTATTTTGTGACGTCAATAAATTCTAAATTATAGATTTCTAAATTTTGCTCATCTGTTTGTTAAAGTGAGGAATATAATTGGAAATGTTGCTCTCTATACTTAGTTTCGATCGCTAATTTTGTTTGATGAACTTATATAAGTAATCGTAATTGTGTTTAATACGACTTGCCACATTGTCACCCGCTAAAAAATTGCACTACTGCGTTGTCAAATCTATTAGAAAATTTAAAAAAAAGCGCCTCCGACACATGAAATTTAAAAATGTGTTGTTTTCATTTTTTTACAGCACTGGGTTGTTGCTGGTGGACTTTCCCGAGGATATCATCAGCTCAGTATTCAGCTTATCGATACTGATATGATTTATAACAAACCTTTTTTTAAATTGTCCGTTAATAAATGTATAAATTATTAAGAAACTAAGGTTTCAACTCCTTCAGTCAAAGATAACCTTAGATGGTTACTATCTTAGGTCCTTTTTGGTCATATATCTCTTCAACTTTTTTCGGTTCTTATACATTCTTGACTTTCAAATATTCGTCTTTGAGCGTTCCTAATGAAGGTAAATCCAGAAATGCGCTTCGAACGCATGTAATTTATAAAGTGTTGTTTTCATTTTTTTAACCCTCCTTTACATATCTAGACCACATGTCGTAAAAATAAAGCCCACATTACCACAAACTGGAGGATTATCGCTAAATGGACAATACAATACAATACAAATAGTTTATTTACGTCTCACCATTAATATTACAATACATAACATAATACACGAATACATAAAACAATATAAAATATTAATGCCATTCTAAAAAGAATTATGAGAGACGGGATTAAAAAAAATATATATATATATTGAAAATGGAACATGGAATTAGAAAACGGCACATAATTTAAAGGTCGTAACTACTGGAAGCTAGCGAAGGTAGCTTAAGCTGTTTGTTTGATACTACTGCTAAAAAAAACCTAAACAAAAAAACAATCCTAATGGGTTTCAGTAGTTAGAGTAGTTTTCACGAGTTATTGAAGAGACTGATTTTACCGCGTTTGTTCATTTCAAATTTTTCAATGGTACTTATTAATGTTAGGACTGCGGAATTATCAATGTTTTTACTCCTATGTATTCACAAATTAATGAATTTTAACATCCTCGTGTAGAACGGTTGTGTATTTTACAAGAAGTAGGACCAATATCTTTTGATTTGATTTTTTTTTTCATTTCTCGTCGAATTATGCATAATATCCAATTTTATTCAAATTACTTTAGCGTTTATTTCGCTATCAGAGCCATTTTCAAAAGTTTGGTCATAACTAAACATTTATAGTTTCACGATTGCCTGTATACACTGTATCTTTATACATGGCACACCAACACCAAATTGTACCCAATATAAAGTTATTTTCATTGATTGTACTTTATATGCAAATTAATTCATTTGATTCCAGATGTCCTCAAATGCAATTTTTTCCAAAAAATATTTAAACTTGGAGATATTCATCTTAATTGTCTATGACAGCAACGTGTAAAACGGCATAACATTTCGATTTTTATAAATACTGTAAAAATGTTGGAAAATATTACATAATATATTATTTAGATTCCATTAAGCTTGAATTGCACTACGTTTTAGAAATATTTAACAAAGAAATGATTCAATTGGAAAGCGGTACAAGGATGGGGAGCCAACATTTTTCAATTCCTACATTTAAAAAAAAATCGAAGAAAGCATATTTCGGCCTCGTACAAATGATCTTGGATCTACAAACGAAGTAAATACAGGAACATATGACCATACATAGTTCTCGAAATTAGAAGAAAGATAACAAGAGGAAATAAGATCACAATTCGAGGAAGAACACCCAAGATGTTGACCAAAGAAAATGAACGACAAGACAAACAACAATCAACTATTTGACAAACAAAATACACAGAAAACGTTAAGATTGAGCAACACAAAACCCTACAAAACCCGGTTGTGAAGTCAGATGCTCCGAAAGTATAAGTAGTTCCGGGTTAACTAGTAACACAACTAACATCTTTTTTTAGACTGGTACAGACCAATTATAAGAATTACAGATGATACTTTAAACCAAATTGAACTATTTATTTATCATTATAAAGTAAACAGCTGCTTTAACTGTTACCATTATCCCCGGAGGATTTTTTTTTTTTTTTTGCTTTTGCTTTTAGTTTTTTTATGGGATGGGAGTAACAAATATTTTATTCATTTAAACGCAATTTTATACACTCGATACTCTTTTATGACAAGCAATAATACTGGTTGTTGAAACCAGGTTAATATGGTCATTCATGTAGTTCAGTTTTCTCGATGGATAAAGCATTCTGAAATATTGGAGTACCAGTACCATCACGGCTAAGACATTATGTTTGGTCATGTATGTTTTAAAAACATTATTTGAAAGGGGGATACACTACGAACAGCACTGTCATAAATAGTCTTGAAAGCTGCAAGAAAGTCACACAAAGTTGTTGTGTTCTCGTGATACATAATATGGGATATAGGAACAGCGTTATTTCTGCTATTATTTTTCATCTTAGGTTTTAAGGGTGTCTCAAGAAATTATTACAAAATCTCCTGCAAACCAGCAGTTAAATAATACATGCAAGTCGAAGCATTGATATTTAAAAAAAACTACAACCTTTGACGATTTCGAAAGATCATTGCTTAAAACTTTTTTATAAGAAGACATGTTTTTTACCTGCAACAAGCAGTGCGTGTGATCAGCTTTAGATAAATTTGTTTTACTTGAAATTTCATGCAAGTGAACCATGATTTTAAATTGATGGAGCCTTGCACCATTAGTTCTTTTTCTTTTTATGTTTTGACACTGTTAAAGTTTTGATTAATTTTCATTATATAATATAAACAATTATATATATTATAAAAAGTATTACGCTTATTCTTGCTTGGTTGCAGAAATAAAAGATGAATAGTATATGCGACAATACTAGACGTAGCAGTTATTGCCATGCAATTATCCAATAAATATTAGTATAGGGAACTTTTGCATTTTTAATAAGCTTCACGCAGCGACATGTTCATGTGATTGACCCAAGACAAGAACATCGTTAGTAGTCATATCTTATTGTTAAGGGGACGACCATTTGATATTCAAGGGGGGGGGGTGAAAATGAACATTGGCCTGGTAAGATCTTAAAATGAAAATATTCTGCTGCACTAAATGCAGCAATTTGCAGGATACAAATTGTTTGTAAAATATGCAATACATAAGCGAGCCTCGCAAAAGGTGGAAACGAATATATTCCGTCAGAAAAACTCCTCCTGCAAAATACCTACCTCGCGATGAAATATTGGTAAGAATAAAACAAAAAATGTTTCCAGAAGATGCAAATACGCTGAGAGAATATGGTGATTTGTTTGAAGACGTTAATTAAAAAGAATCACATAACATAGAAGTTTCTTATGATTGCATAATTTTGATTGGTCAAGGCATTCCCAAAGCTATATTTTATTTCCGTTTAAAATGCAACATCAATCACTGCACTTACTTTCCGTAACAACGTTATAATGCGTAGAAACAAACGCAAGACTTGATTTAACTCGTAATTTCACGGTTGTAGCATAAAAATAAAATTGTAGGAGTTGAGTAATTTTATTGGGATGTAAAACCGTTGAAAGTGCACACAAATTTATAATGAAGAGCTTCATACATAATGTGCTTCGATTAACGCTTTTTACACCTCAAATAAAACTACATAGAGAAGACTTTTAAAAAACAAAACAGTATTCAACTTATGACATGAATATATAAATAAACAGATAGAAATACTGATTGATTGATTGATTGTTTGGTTGAACTACTTCGTGAGAAATTAATACAGCTCGATAATTCAGGAGGGTACCTGAACATACAACTCAAACTTCAACAAATTGACAAAAAAAACAGTTGAAGATACAGAGTGTTAATACATTACACTCAACTGCAATTAAGAGCCTCTGTCTGTAGGGGAATGAACTCAATTATAAACTTATCTTCTTATATCTATTAAAAAATAAATTACACACTAAAAAAACTATATTTCATGACATACCTTGAGCAAAGGTGTTGAATTTACAGAAAAAGGCTCCAAGAACAAACCCTTCTGTTAGATTGTCTACCAAGTACACCCAAGAACACCAAATCGTAACGAGTAAATCCGAAACAGCAAGATTTACAATGTAGTAATTGGTTGTTGTTCTAAGTCGTTTGTTCCACGCAACAACAACAATTATGAGAATGTTACCCGTTACAGCCGCCAAAATAATTAATACAAACAAAGCAACTTTCCATATAATTTCAGGCAAAGGAACAACTTTCAAAGTTCCAGGATAATCAATATCATCGTAATCAACCAATGTATTGGTTAAATTCATGTCATTTTTAAACTCACTTAAATTCATTTTTAACTGTTTTCAATATTGTTAATGAAAATACAAAACTTTTTGTTCCTTTGAATATCTTCCTTTAAGTCCTACTGCTCTGTCACTTCCATTGACTATCATTCTAGTTTTCTACAATCTGTGAATGACAACCTAATCAGGCCAATCAAAAACAGGTATCCGATATTACCCAATACTCGTGTCGATAAAATGGCGCCATATTGATCACTGCGTGGTTATTAATGAATGCTGTTTGATGCAGACAAAAGTAAAAAGTATTGTCAAAGATAATAATTTAATTGTTATGACATAATAGGAAAAAGATAAACTTCTTGAATAAAGACACCTGCGTTTTGCTAATGAAATCTTTGAAACATTCAACTGCTTATATTCTTTTGAATGCTTTTGGACTTTTGTTTCATTTCAAAAGTTAATCTTGAATTTATGAAATTAAACAATAGTATACAAAATGTTTAAGTAACAAAATATAAAGTTGGAATAAATCAGATTAAGGAAACATATATAAAAGAAAATTGTAATGACTAGGAAAAGAGGAGGATTGGAGAAATTGACTACATGCAGTAAGTCCACGAGAATTATTTTATTTGACAATGGGGATGGCTGTCAACTATATGCTGATAATGAATTCCGGTAGCTTTCATAAATGTGTTGAATGAAAGGTTTAAGATTTGTGTAACGTCAGTCCGATATCTTTTTAATGTTTCAATTTTTCAGAAAAGTGGAAGTTTACGCTACTTATAATTCTTGTTTTGCAATAACTTGTGTTGTTATGCATTTTTTAATTACGTCAGTGAGAACTAAGTGTCTGGAAAAGTTTTTAAAAATTGCTTTTCAATTATTCATATTGTATTGATTGTAAGATTATTTCAACACTTCACAGGAATCTAAGATTCTGAACTAATTAAAAAATATATCCTTTACTGCTTTCTTCTTTTCAAGTTCTAGTATATGAAAAAAGAGAAATATTTGCATAAAAATTATATTTATTAATTAACAGTAATTATTGTTGATAATAATTGTCATGTAAATCATTGTGCATTCCCCGTTCTTGCAGTGTTCTGCGAACAAATGGAGAGTATAGTTTATATAAATACAAGTGCTTAGTGACCATAAATGTCATACCAATTCTAATTTAAAAATCAGATACTTAATTTAACTGCAAATATTTGTATCAATTCAATCCAGTGTAAATTTTAATTATTCTGTATTATTTTATCTCAACATTACAGAGAGATATCGGTTATCAAACATACGTTCAAATCAATGTGAGATAGCTAACACTATTAGTTATTCCATATAATGCTAGTTGCAAGGTTTAAACAGCACTCGAAGACTTATCATTCGCAAACAAATATCAGAGTGAGAGAGATATAGTATTAATATAATCCTGGTATTGCTGAACAATTTTGCTAATATAAACCAACATTATATATGATGAAATAATTGGTGTTTTACGTCCAGTAGCAAATATTACATAAATATCAGGACGATGTTGATTTGATATGAATATGAATCCTGGTTTGTACTAGACGCACATGCTGAGCCTGATTTTTAACGTGCTAGTTTATTAAAAGGTAATAGACGAAAGGAATATATGTCATCTTATCCGGATACATTATTATTCTGACCACGAGTTGACCAGACTTTGCATTTCCTCCTAAATCATGAGTGTTTAGCGGAGAAACAATAAATATTCATTTTCAAGTCTTTGCTTGACCCGACCAGGATGATATTTATATTTATATGTATAATTATGAGTATTAGTTTTTTGTTTTACATTTTTTAACTCGATTAGCAACACGACGGTTGTCAATACAAATTGGAACATGACCTGCTTACCTCTTCGGAGCACCTGATTTCATTTTTGTCGAGTATTTCAAGAAAACAATCATAATTATTACCGAATCAACATTCTCTAACAGTCTACCCAATTCATCACTAATGGTGGATAACAACTTGGCTAAGAATTTTTAAAATGCTGTAATAATATCCCAGATTTTCGTTAATGACGTTGTGGTCCTTGATTTGAAGTGTGGATGTGACCATTTTAATCGTTTTTATTCATTGAAAATCGCTCCCTTTAAATTTTTAGAGTCATTTCACAGATTAAGATGAGTCTTCTTATTTCAATACTTAGTATAACAGAACACATAGAAAAATCAGTGATTATTGCGAAGTCCAACAACAAATATTTCATGTATTTCGTCCAAATCCAGGAAGAGCGCAAATTAACAAAAATAAAAAAAAAAACTTGCCCGTGATGAAAAATAAATCACATTGCCAATAGAAATCAAGGATTTATAGAGTATGGTCATAAATGTGACATTACAGCAGGTCATCTAAGGGTCATAGGGGCCTCGGTGGCCGAGTGGTCTAAGTAGTTACTACTAGCCAGTCAACACTGAGGTTGTGAGTTCGAACCCCGCTCGTGCGTGTGCACTCGACTCCAATCTTAATTGACTAGGATTGTCAGTTTTCCTATCGAAGGTCGGTGGTTTTTTCCGGGCACTCCGTCTTTCTCCACCAATAAAAACTGGCCGCCACGAAATAGCCCAAAAGCGGTGCTTAAAAGTGGCGTTAAAAACACACAAAAATTATTGTGTGTATTAAAATCATAAATCTAAGGGTCATACCAAAAAGTGTTTAATCGTGTTCTTTTAAAGAGCATGACACTATCCCAAAACGTTGATTTAACGTTCCCTAACAGACCGGAAGAGAGTGTGTATTTTTACAACCAAACACAGCAAAACAAATGAACCATTAGGACTTGCCTGACGGAAGTGGTCCAGAAATCAATATTTCATTCAACTTACTAAAATTTAAGAGGATAACTAATAGTCATTAGATATTAGATAAATGCAAACGCATCAATAAGTGTTGCTGATAATCTTATTTCATTTCATGAACTGTTGTCCTCAATTTATACACAATTCATTGTCATGGATTCCATTGCTGTTTCGGTAATTTGAATTGCTTCCTTCCTGTTTAATTAAGATTAACAAATAAATGCAGAGCGGTTCGTGTTTCTGCATTTGAAAATTCAATCCAACACTGTCATTTAATGAGTGATAAACAATTTGTTTAGTTTCGAATTGATTAAAGTTGGAAAACAAACTATCATAATACACCAGTCCTATAGCTTTGAATATCTCGATCTTGAAAACATGTATCTTTGAAAACCATTTTAACGCGGTTCAACATTTACTATTTTTTTTAGTTACAATTGGATAAAACTGGATGATAAAAAAAAATCCAAAGTCAAAGCATAGGCAATCTCTAGTTGTCGTTCCCTTTCCCCATCTTTATGCTAGTTAAAAGTGCCCCTCCCATTTTTATTTTCTTTTTTTAAAACTTCAATTATTTTTACTAAATTTTAGAAAATTGAATGATGTTTCAACGAAGTACAGCAATCGATATTAGAATATAGGACGACATAATTTCTTATCAGCAAGTTAATAAGTACTTTGAGCATGATTTCAGCAACTTCGAGCATTCTTCAATAAGGTATGCATTTTATAAATTTGTGATTTGGTTGTTTATATATATAACCAGACTATTTTCTTGTCATCAAATGAAAATTCGAGTCGGTATAGAGTTTAACAATTTAATAAACAATACAACAAGAATAAATGATGTTACAATGTTGAGTCTGGTGTTTACGGTTAGACTACCTTTCCAAAACTGAATATAAATTATTTTAAGAAGTATATAAAACATAATAATAAAGAAATGCATGTAAAAATAATCATCTAAAACTGTCTTTGACTAGTAGATACGAAGTTCATTATCGGATCAGTAGAAACATACTTTTTAAACCAAAAGATAATTATGTGGGAAAATTTTAGCTATAGATGACAATTATAAGATATAATAATAAGTTCGAAAGATGATAGTCCAAATAGTTGACATGCTTTACGTCCGGTCATAATACACTACCATTATTACAAGATAACTGTATTACTGTGTCGGTTTCTGTTCGACTTATGATTTTGATTGCTTGTTTCCCGAACCAGAGATATGCTATGTTATAATACTTTTTTAGGTTAAAAGGGTCAAACACAACGACCATTGCATACAACCTTTAACTTGTTGATAACGATTCACCTTCATATCGGCTACTATACCTTTGTATTGAATAGTCCAAGTATTGTAAGAAAAAACCTATGTAGTGAAAAATTATTGCAAAAAATTAATTCCTACCAATTTAGGTCTAATTTTAAACATATGAAAAGGGGGTATTTATCAATAAGACAGAATTCAATCCAATATAGTTCCTTCTTAATGAAGTGGAATCACAAACTAAAGGGCAAGGGGTCCGGGGGCCTTAGGCGGCCCCCAGTGGGTCCAGGGGAAACCCTCCGCATATTTAGCGTTTCAAAACAATCACAACCGTAATAAAACGTGGACATTTTTTTGTGTTTTTTTTGGTCAACTATTTGTTTAACTTCGAGTCGAATGAAGACTAAGCATTGTCGTTTGCGTTTTTTTTTTTTTGTACGCCGTGAGAGCTTTTAAACTCACGGAGATTTATTCCAAGGGTATGCTAGTATTTGTATTTAGCAAAGTAGATGTATAAAAAAAAAACAATAAACAAACACAATAATATATTATGTGGAGTTTCTGTTAGCATAAACATATTCAAAAAATGATTCAATCTTTTGAATTTCAAAGTTGCAGTCATTATCAATTCTGGTCAGAAAAAAGGTTTCCCAAACGAGGTTTCTTCCTTACAGCAAATGCGTGAATAAATTTTCCAATGTTTGTATGCGTGAAGGATGGAAAGATGGAAAGAGTGGATGGCTTTGGGTCCGCTGATATGTCCCACCTTACAATCCATCTTCATCTTCCTCGCGAAATTGTGCAACGTTGTTAACAGTAAGGTAGGTCATTTCTATACGTCTCAAATAAGATGTTGATTACTTCTTGAATAATTCCATTTAGCTTTGATGGTATCAAATATTGGGCAGAAAACCGCTCTTTGTTAGAAACCAATCTGCGTG